ATCTAACTATTAAGGATAATCAAGTAGTACAGCTTCATCCAAGCAGTTGTCTGGATCATAAACCAGAGTGGGTTATTTATAATGAATTTGTGCTTACTACTAAAAATTATATCAGAACTGTTACTGATATTAAACGTAAGTTTTTTTATTACACAATTGTTATAATGCATAGTTATATTTTTCTACTTAATTTATTCATTTTTGTTAAGATAATCTTTTTTTTATTAAGTTTTTATTTCTTTACAGCTGATTGGCTGCTCATGATAGCGCCACAATATTATGATCTGCAAAATTTCCCTCAGTGTGAAGCAAAACGACAACTGGAAATGATTCAGGCAAAACTAGATTCAAAGCAGTATCAGGAGGGCTTCTAACCTCTATATACTTTAGACATGTTTGGAAATGACGAAAAACTGTCGAGAGTATTCAGTCAATCTGCTTCTGTCATGCATAATGAACTTTGGCACTTTTTCACTATCAAAGTCACATCACATATAAAACATTGCGAGGAGCCACTTTCTATTCTTCATTTAAGACACAGAAGAAATATTAAAACATTTAGGTTTTTATACAAGTTTAACAACAGCTTGTATAATGTAAAAATTGAATATTTGAATACTTTCAATGTTTAAGCTCAAAAAAGATGGAATTAAAATGGACAATTAGCTTGAGACACAGCAAAAAAGCATAGTTAATCAATAAAAAGATTATTTATGTACATTTAAGAAAAGATTTAGTTTTTAAGCAATTTTTAATATAGTAGAGTTCATATTAATCAACAATTACATTCGAACGTATTTGGAATGTCGCTATACAATATAGATTAATTTACTGTGTAAATTTATTATATCTATGTGCAGAATGTAGATGTAATAGGTAATTTTTGTATTAAATGTTGACTATATATTGTGAAGAAGGGGTAAAATGGCCACTCCATCAATAGTCAAAAAATATCTTCTTCTAATCTTATATTTGCTTAAAGTCCTCTTAAAAAAATGATCGATTTTTGCTATTTAGCTTCTCTCTCTCTCTCTCCCCCTCCCCCTCCCTCTCTCTTTGATATGCTAATATAAATAGAACTTGATGTTTTGTATTCTATTTCCTTAATTTATAGAATATGCAATATATATGTGCAGTATATAATATGGTGACATTTCTAAGTGGAATGAGAAGATTATAAAGAATCGACACAGAAAGAGAGAGAGAGAGAGAAAATTGTATACGTTATTATAAACTTTGATTTTGCAACACTAACTTTTATCTAAATTGGAGAAGATAAAAAGAGCAAAGTTAAAGACATAACAAGAAAAATATTTCTGGACACACTATCATCTAGATCTAAAAAAATCAAATCACTGAAAAAGATATTTATGATATATATATTAGTATAATCAAAGCAAAGACAAAAAAAACCAATAAGCTGTGGCCACAGATTATGAAAAGCAGCATTCAGTGTAATAAAACATCTTTATTAGCACCTAAAAGAAACATGTGAATTTGAGTCTATATGTTTATTGTTCATCATTGATATTCCACACATATTAACAATAAATATATGGATTTTGTTTTAAAGAAGAAAATTCAAATAATCCTTGTTTTGAATTCTCTGTAATTAACCATATATAGTTATTACAATTAGCAACTGTTTCTTTTATTGTGGATATAAAAAAGTACTTTTTCGATTTTGTAAATAGACATGCGAAAAACTTAAAAGAATTTTGAAAACGCGCGCGAAATTAATTGTTGCAATTAATGTTTTATTAGAGTATATAATTTCATTCTAATAAACTGGAAATTTTTATATCTCAATAATTATTATCTATTTCTCACACACATCTTTCTATTTAAATTAATATATTATTTCATCAAATTAATAAATTAAATCTCTGATGTGTGGAACAGAAAGTTTTTGATCGTTATAACTATCTCGATATGTAGTGTGTTATTACATAATGTATGTATTTTATTTTTTCAATATGCAACTCGCTATGTAATTTTTCTATATAAAATTGTAATTTCTGAGCTTAATGTGCCGCATATATTGTAAATATCCGAATATACCTCCATTAGAGAGTTGGTAAAAAAGACAAACCTATTATAAAAAAAAGGCCGCTATAAATGCACTTTACTCTCTAGAGTTATAAATGCTTCGAATCATTAGACCAATCAGACCTATAGACTCTTTAGTAGTTTTCTTTACAGTAGTATTGTAACAATAGAAATTTTTTTCCGATATGGCGTAAGTTGGTAGAGGTTTCCCGCGCACATAATTTACGCGTACCATTATGGTACTACCATATTGAATCATTGTTTATTACTTGCGGAAACGTGCAGTATGTGTGGTGATTTGAATGTGTGATATCGATAGGAAAATAAATCTGTCAATACCTTTTATCACTGTTCGATAGCATACATTGAAGATCAATAAGAATCATCTTACAAAATCTTGGTAATATACGGGCAACATGTTTAGTTTGGGCGAAATTAGCGAGCAACTGAAAAATGTCAGCCGAAAGTCGGTTGGAGTCTCCTTTGCCGGTCAATCACTCATATTGGACACCGCGGATAATGGTAATACAATAGAATTTTTTTTTATATTTATTTTCCGATGTTTTCTTCACATATGCACAATGCATAGGTTATATAAGAATTATGAAAAAAATTGATTTCTTTTTAGTAGAACTTTTTTAGCTTATAAAGTATAAACATCTTTTTATAAAATTTTATTTTCTTACAAATTTCAATTCTAGTGCAATTTACCAGCGGGTTTATTATTATGTTTTTTATAATACAGCTCTTGGAGTGATAGAAGCGATAAAGGCATGTCCATGCTTGGAGTACTTGGATTTAGAAGGAAATACATTGGGTATACCAGCTGCAGAGGCTATAGCGGAGGTATTAAAAGAGAAGGGAACTCCGTTGAAAAAAGCTTTATGGAAGGATATGTTCACTGGTCGTTTAAAAACAGAAATTCCAAAAGCATTGGAATATCTAGGAACAGCATTATGCACAGCCAATAGCCGGCTCACTGAACTTGATTTGAGTGACAATGCTTTTGGTCCAATTGGTATTCAGGGATTAGCAAATCTGTTGACATCAAGCCCATGCTATACTCTTCAGGAATTGAGATTAAACAATAATGGTCTTGGTATATCGGGTGGAAAAATGTTAGCTAAAGCATTGGAGAAGTGTCTTGAGAATAGTTCCAAAGAAGGCGAGATATTACAGAATATAAATATATAATCATATATATCTCATAATATTCCAAGTATTAATGATTGATGTATTTTTATTATAGGTGCACCACTTGCCTTGAAAGTTTTCATTGTTGGTAGAAATCGTTTAGAAAATGAGGGTGCACAAGCATTAGCATCTGTATTTGAAAAACTGAAGACATTAGAGGAAGTTGTAATGCAACAAAATGGCATATACCACTTAGGTATTGCAGCAATTGCACAGGGATTATCTGTCAATCCTAATTTACGAGTATTAAATTTGAACGACAATACGATTGGGTTGAAAGGGGCTAAAGCACTCGCTAATGTTTTACCAATTTTCCGAGGTCTGGAGGAGCTAAATCTCGGAGATTGTTTATTAAAGACTAAAGGGGCTTTAGTTTTAGCAAAGACATTAGAGATTCACGGCAATCATACATCTCTTAAATATCTAGATTTAAGTAATAATGAACTACGTATGGACGCTGGGAATGCTATTGCTAAAGCCACACATGATAAAACTCTTTTGACGAACTTACAGTTAGATGGCAATTGTTTTGGAACAGAAGGACGCGAGAAACTTCAACAAATTCTTACAAAGTTGGGGAGAATCGATGCATTAAATTCTTTAGATGAAGATTATACTGAAGATGAAGAAGAGGAAGATGATGACAGTGATAATGATGGTGATGACGAAGAGAAAACGAGTGAAGAATGTGAAAGCGATAATAATGAGGACGAGACAAGTGACAAAGATAAGAAAATGCAAGATAATGTTGCACAAAGCACAGTAGTAACAGTAGCAGAATTTTTGAAATCACCGACAGGCGAGAAATTATTGCTGTTACAAGGTGATAATGTACAAGCTTTCATTGATCATGCAACGGTATGTATTAATATACATTAACATCAGTATATTTAGTCATCTTTTTAACACAAGATTTATATGTTTTATTCCAGAACTTGATAAATCAGGATAATGTGAGTATAGAACAGAAATATATAGAAGAGCTTTTGCGGATAACCATGAAAGTATCAGCATTATGTGATAGTGGCTATATGAATGTGAGAATAAAAGCAGAATTCTTATCGGATGCTTTGTATGCAAAGCTGTTTTCTTATGCAATAGAGAATAACCAAATCTTGGATTTGAATAATGCACTCCTAGTAAATCTTGGCTTAATAAAAGTAAGACACAAAAAATAAAAAATTACTATTCATTTAGAAGGAAACAAATAAAGCGAATAACAATTGTGTACTTCTTTTAGGCTGAAAACAAAAGCAGAGGTAAAATTGATTGGAATTTGGAGGGATGTTTTAAAGCTTTGGAAAAAATTATTCAGAGGGACTATTTTTTGGTACAAACAAGAAATATGTTAAAAATATTTCTAGAGCGACCAGTGAAAACTGGTCGAGCGAATGTAGTAGACCCATTTCAAGATTCTAAAGCTGATCTTATAGCTGTCCTGAACAACATTCAAGTTACATAAATTTATCTGGAATTATTTTATTGGATATGATATATAGTTATTTATTTTTATACATTATATGGAAAATACAATATTTCGTGTAATCAATTTTAATTAGGATGCTATTATAAAAATCTTGCAAGACCTACAGGTAAATAATCTTTACAATTTTAAAACAAAATTTTGTACTTTCAATATTAAACTTTTTTTAGTACAAATATGGCTTATAACTTTTATTATTTTTATGTTATGATAAGAAGTTTTTCTTTTATTAAAAAATTAGATTATTAATATGAATAATAATATAATAATTAAGTTATGATTGAAATGAAAAATACATTTATTATATCTTACATGTTTATATTGTGTTTACATGTTTATATTGTGTGTATATTCATTTCAGAGTTTTATCATTCTCAATTTAATAATAAAATAATATATATTGTATAATAATTATTATTTCTTAAAATAATGTAAAGAAACATATATTAAAATTCAATTTGTCTAAATTTTAATATTTATATTGTAAAATAATTTTCTTACACATATAGCAGTATTTGGTGAGATGTGCAACTGATATAATTAACTTGAAAAATGCAAGTAGCCACTAGTTCAACCAGAATGTTTTTACAGTGAATGAAAAATGAGACATCTAATATGTAACATTTTTTTCAACAATTTGTCAAAGATTGAGTATAGATTAATGTAGAATAAATAATGTTTATGTATGTGTGCTAATTGAAACTCAACATGAAATGCACTGAAGATTGTTACTGTTTTTGCTCGTTCGTATTGTACTATACGAATAAGAATCTCTTGAAAAGTTTCTGACTTTTAGGACACAATATCGAGTCTATTTTACAGTGATTGTGGATGCTGGGTCCCAACCTGGATGAAAGAGATCAACAGTCAATGGGATGCAGTGTGACGACGATTGGTCTTTCATGTACATTGTTGCCTAGAAACCACAAAATAATAGATTCAAAATACAATATTCTTATTTTCTTTCATTTTAGATTTATCTTTACGTATGTAATACACACAAGAAAAAGGATCAACTGCAATTTTGTCTTAACATTACAATCTTGTCCTAGAGTAGACGGATAACTTATCACCCCATTATTTTTTCGTACATCAGCTGCTATCAGCTCTAAGCAACGCTTTTCCTCCACTCTTAATTCCAATATCGATTCTGCAATAAATATAAAAATCGATTTAAATTAACTATAATTTTTTATTTAGTTTTTAAAAAATCCATTTATACATATATATATATATAGTATCATCATTATTCAATTTCTTACTTTTATCAGAAGCTTCAGCGGATAAGAATGTCGATAGGACAGTTCCAGATTCGGAGGTTCCAGAAAATAAATGTGGATAACGCCTGAGAAGCAGTTTCGTCAGCAATATATTGCCGCGATTTCCAGCTAAGCTGTTATTAGGTGTACAAACAATCTCGTCGTCTGTTCTTCTCACTAATAATACAGTCCCGTTATATCTAATCAATTAAAAAAAGAAACAAAGAAACGATACATAAACATGTAGATGATATTCTATCAATATATTTATACATATAATACTACTATAGAATATACCTATTCAATTGTTCTGCTATATTTAAATTAAAATAATCTCTGATTATATTGCGGATTAAACCTTCCAGGGACGGTGGCATTGCTTTCATAGCTAATGGAAATATATCATCAAATGTAGCATCTAAAACCTGCAGTAATATAATCTATTAATTTATAGAATTGTACATAGAATTAATCGAACTAAATTTAATACCACCAAGCTCTGAATAGAAGGGTAATTCATAGCAGCCCAGGTAGCGGTATATCCTCCGATGCTCCATCCATACAGGATAATGCGTTTCTCAGGAAACTTTAGACGGTCGATCGCAAAACGCATTATACAATCGATGGCTTTTTCCTCTTGGTCTGGATATGGTGCACCCTTTTTGATTATTTATTGTTACTGTTATACGAAATATAAATCGGCCCCGAAGTAAAAGACTTGCCATTATTCCGTACATAACTTTGCATTTACTGTCTTATATGTGAATGACAATAACTGCAACATTTTGATAAAGTTTTATTGTTGCAATGATAAAGTTTTAGGACAGAGCAACAGCAATTCTTCCCCTCGGATTGTATAAAAAAAATATATATATATAAAATTTATTTCTTTGTGCATATTACTTACAGTACTGCCGCCGAAACCTGGATGATTCCAGCCTAATACTGAATAACCCTTATTCAAAGGAGTGGATATAATACCTGTTTCATAGAAACCACAATTTCCTTCGCAAGTTATTACTAATATATCGCCATTAGTATTCCTGTGAAAACTGTACATTAGAAAACAGTTTGTAAGATACAAGCTATTGATAAAGTTATTGTTTACAATACTTGTTGCGTCGATCGACGAACATTGTATCAATTTCATTTTTATTAGCTGTCACCAGCTTAAATCTTTCTCCGCCTTGTTTTATTAAATCTATCCTTCCCTTCGATAATGTAGAACCTTTGACATAGTGATATAAAATAATCTTAAGTAGTATAAAGATATATGTATATAGATATACAACAATAATAATAATGCTCTACCAATTGCCCAGCTGATAATAGATACACTGCCAGGATAAATCATTTTGATTGCAACAATATGCGCTGCTATATAAGAAAATAATTTACATGGTATGGCAAATAAGAAATCTTTGCCACTTTGACGTTTCAGACGCCCGCTAGCTGTTGCAATCTGTCTTAGTGTCAATTTGTCTGCAAATCTGTTACTAAAAAAATATAAATATTTATATATATATATAAAATATAGATATTATATATATATATATATATATGTGTGTGTGTGTGTGTGTGTGTGTGTATAAAAGCTATCTTAAAATCCCTTAGCTTTGATTTAAAAGATCTTAGCATTAAAGTTTGAACTTGATACTTCTTTAATTAAAACATGCAAGCATCAATTTTTTTTCAAGTTTTTGAGTAAAGATAAATGGAATGTTATTATTAAAATTAAAGTAAACTTTATTAAGGTAAACTTTATTCTCCTGTAATATTTGATATCTTTAATTAAAAGATTTTTTTAATATTAACTATTAAAAACTTGTAGAAGTGATGATACCAAAAATTGTTGCTATGCATAGTACAATTCATTAAAAAGTGTATTAAAAAATTTGAAATTGAAATAAAAGTTTGGGATTCTAGGATATCCTATTTAATTATTATTAAAAGGATATATGTATCCAACCCTTCTAATTCCGATATATCAAAATCCACAGGCCATGCCCAAAATTCAAAATCATATTTGTGAAGCTCCTGTTTTGTCCTTTCATTATATTGTAAATGTGCTTCATTTAAAGTTTGTATAAATTTTACATATACTGGATTGTTAACTCTGGAGTAACCACGTGCCGCTAACGAAGCAACGAAAAGTGCACCAGCACCAGTTGCCAATTTACTCAAACAAAAAACATTATCTGTGAAGGAATAACCACGTTGATACATAAACGGTACAGCGATGGCAATAAGTGGTGCAGCGTAAAGAGTTATAGACCATATTGCTGCTGTAACAATGTGCAACTGTAACAATGCAAAAATAATTTGTAAGCTTCTTACAATTCAATATAGTAATAAAAAAATGCGATTAAATTGTGGTAAAATTTAAAGATTACGTTTGTACATAAAGACACTTGAAAGATTTTACTCGCATAATAGCAGTAAAATTGCTTAGTAAACTTTCAATAACACCTTCTAAATTATTTCGTGAAATACTTACGGAAATCACAATTTGATCGCTCCATCGTTCCAAGTTCTTCGGCTCGTACGATTTCTATAATTTACATACGCATAACCTCAAATTCAGGCAAATTTTCGCTGAGAGAACGCTGAATAAGTATATTGTATGTAGGCGCACTTACGTCAACCAGATGACCGATCCATGTTACCTCGCAAATCTTGAAAAGCCGCGGACTGAATGTACACTTCCATAAGGACCTGATCAAGGACATTTCGCACGATTTTCACACAATCAGATCTTATCGTATACAAATATATATATTACACTGCGGAGTTATGATGCGGATCAAATTCTCAGGCCGTACACAACATCGAGCCGAGACATATCTTTCTACCTACTAACTTGTACGTCCGTTGAATAAGCGTGACAGCTAGATAGACGACGGATTAATCCATGCCAAGAGAAACTTTTTTTTTCATTTCACATTAGCGTAGCAGTCACAGTTGAATTAAAAATCTATCTTTTTCTTTTTTAGGTGCAATTTTGTAGTATATTATCTGCTGTGATTGGAAGTTTTAAACAAGCATTTTAGATATGATCGATACATATATTATTATGGAAACAAGTATACATAATATAATTAATACACACATATATATATATATATATATATCGTCTCTAGATTTTCCAAGGACCATATCATACTATTTCTCTCTATAAATTAATGAAATGTCGAAATTGGATAGATTTTCATAAACTTTGATGAATGTAAATTATCTATTTGTTCTCAAGTAAGTATAAACGCTATTTTGCCGTTTACGCTATTTTACTGTTTACGATATTTTAGCGTTAACGCTAAACGCTACTTTAGCATTTACGCTATTTAATTAAACAACAGTTGCTTAGGCAGCCAAAAGTTTACTTCTCCATTACGATTCAGCGTGTCATAATTTTAATGTCAAATTTCGCGGTTGACAGAGCTCGAAGATTTCAAGGATGGCGATCTATCGATCGACACCACATGGAAAATAACGACGTGAACGTAAAATTCGACGAAATTACGTGTAGTTTTGCTTCGAAGCGCGATCTGATGTTCGCAAAATTGTAACTTCGCGCCGGTCGATCGAGCGGTCGCGTTGCATGACTTTCGGAACGTCCGCGACGAAGAGAAGAGAGAACTTGCTGAGAAGCAATACGACACACGGCTAAGCAAGCAAAGTGTATAATCGTAGTTACTGGGAAGACGTTTCAACGTGATAACATTGATCGTTCGCAGCAGTTTTTACAACATGTCAGATTGGGACACCGCGCCTATTACACTGCGTAAACGCGCTCCAAAATCGTCCACACTCAAAACCGAGAAGGTCTGAAAACTCGCAAAATCCGGTGCGCGGTTATCACACGTTAGCACGAGAGATCGCGATGCCCGTATTTGCGTCGCACGCGATTCTTAACTGTAAGTTTATTATTTACAGGCGGTGAACGATGCACGGCGGCAGGGTTTCACCGTAGAGACACAAGCGAAATGTGAGTACAAATTTGTTTTTAGATTTTCTTGCATTTTTTCCCGATTATTTCGGATAATTATTTGTTGCAATGTAAACAAAAACGTGCTCGCCACTTTAAGCGACAATTTTGCGTATTCTTATCAATGATAACAGTAATTTCAAGTTACACAATCACACAATTTTTTTTAGAATGAAATAGGATTTTATTGCAAAGAGAAATAATAATTATCATGTTACTTCTTTCCTTAAAAATGAAAATATTTATATTTTGCCATAGATTTTTCTTTCTTCTTCTTCTTCTTCTTTTTTTCTATTATTATTAAAGAAGCATATTATCAGAATTATTGTCACGTCATCATACACACACACACCACACACATACACATATATGTTATATCATAGATAAAAATCTTAAGTTAAATATAAAATTGATATGTTTTATGTACAGATTCGATAAATACAAGTATGTGAAGCATCTATTTTAAAGGATAAGTTGATATTTTATTATATTATAAGAATATAACTGAGAGATATAAATAAAAAACAGAAAGCATCGAACCAAGATTTAAATAAAATATTTTTCACATTTCAATAACGTAAAATAATAATATGCTAGATATTTTGTTACTTACCAGAAAAAGATCCAGTTTGTCTTATAATTTTTATTTTTAATAATTTTATTGAAAGTATAATAATACTGAAACTTCTGATTAGGGGGTGGCGGTGCAAACAGACAGCACGTAACCACAAAAAATACAGCTAAATTAGATCGTGAAACAGAAGAATTAAAACATGATCAAATTCCACTTGAACTTGGTAAACTTATACAACAAGGAAGGCAAAACAAAGGATTATCTCAAAAAGATTTAGCTACAGTAAAGTATTTTTGTCTTTATAATTTGAAAGTATTTATTATTAGGAAAATAAAACAATATACAAATATTTGTTATTATTAATTTTTACATGCATTTTTTTTTATAGAAAGTAAATGAAAAGGCACAAGTCATTAATGACTATGAAGCAGGACGTGGAATACCAAATCAAATGGTCATTGGCAAGATCGAGCGAGTACTTGGAATTAAATTGCGTGGTAAAGATCGCGGCAGACCGTTAACGACCCCCGGGACGAAGAAGTGAATCTCGGGGGGGAAACAGTCTACTTTCGATCTTTATATACTATTTCCAAGAAAGAACTATGAGAAAGATGGTAGAATGGAATGCAACAAACAAACCCCTAACCTTCTTTCCTTTGGTTACATTGATATGATAAGAATGGGTTATAATTAACTTGCCTTTATGGTAAAAGAAATATATTTTAGGATATCGTGAATACACGTGTATGTGAAGTAACATACACAGTACATACAATGCATATAGTGTAATATTAAACAAGGCTTATTGAGTTACCTTTGCGTAATCATTTACATATTATAGATTTTCAAGTGTACATTACTAATGCTAATTATGAAGTAAGAGCAAAATATGTTTGAATGACAGAATAAAATTCTTAATTTATAATAAAGTATCCGATATTTGTTCATTGAGCATCATAGTACAGAGAATTGTAATGCAAGATTTTTTTTTATCGTGTTTATAAAATAGATAAGGTATAGATAAGATATCCATATATAAAATAGAAAACATTGTGTATAAATATAAAGAACACCTATTCAAGTAACACTATGTGTATTTGTATCTTTTACATTTTGATGCGTGTGTTTTTTACACCATTTTTTTAGGCAATCTACATATTTAATTAGAGATTTCTTTATTTCATAAATAATATTAGTATTATTTTCAAGAATACTTAAATGAGCGAAGTTTTGATAATAAAAAATATGTTGAGATACTGAAATAATTTTATTTGCACAATATATATAAATGTTTTTTCTCATTTCTATTAATCTTTTCTCAAAGCAAAACTGGAATCTTTTATTCCATCCTTAGTAATAATTTTAATACTTATTCCATCACCTGTGTATATATCTCTCTCAGCTGCAGAAGTGAAAACATCTTTCAAGATTGCCACAGCCTTTTCTTGAGTTAAGACTGCAGGAGTGACTCCTTCTTGATTCTTGTATCCAATCTAAAGAGGATAAAAACATTACATAATGCACAATATGTAGTTTTTTCACAATGTCCAATTGGATCGTAACTATATATGCATCCTTTTCCATTCTCATCTAATCCAGCAAGTATATTAGTGACATAATAAGGGAAGAATCTTTTATGATACAGCATTATTGAGAGCATCTGTGCTGCTGCTGGAGTTGTCATTTCTTTTTGATGTTCATGTTGGTACATCTAAAGTAAAGATAAATATTGCATGTGTATCTGATAATTTATGATGATCTATGTGATTGCTTTACAATCTGTTTAGTCCCAATTGAATGTGCAACATTCGTACCTGCATGCGAGCGGATAAGAGACGAGTTAAAGTCAAAGTATCACACCAGCAACCAGAGCATCCTAGAATGGTGGTGTTTGACAAAGAGAATAATTTATCTTGTTCCCGAGTATAGATTGAAAATCCTGTACTAAGACGAGTATCCGCAGCTATGACACAGAAATCATCCCCTGCAAGAGCCACCACGCTCCTAAAAATAAAATAACATTTTAACAATATCCTTCAAGAGTACAACGCACTTCATTCGAGGAATATAACAAAATAAAAATTAAAAATATTAATCAATCATAATCGTTCGGTCATGATAATTAAAATTAGTAGAGATATAGGATATAGGTTATTTTCAATTTACTCACCCTCCGTTGTCAGAATAAGGACTGAAGCTCACTTTTTTTGCTCCCTGTACCTCGTAATCAGGTAAACATCCTTTTCTATTTTCTGTTAATAGAGCCATTGTTGTACTTCGTCTGGAAAATCTCGAATGTAGTTACCCGTCACACAAAATTGAATGACACTACAATTTCAATAGATTCAAGAGAGACATAGGGACATAGCAGCATGACATTGGACATCGACGGCGAAAGATGAAGGCGAAACAATCATGTTGGTCATGTTCTCTTATTGGTCAATTTCATGCTACACTCTACCTCACGAATAGGATTTCCGAACGCACCTTAAATGTTGGAAGCGTTTGTTTGAGCAACAAAGAGGATCGTCTTTACCTCGATTGCTCAAAGGTTTTCAGCATTTATAATGTCAACATGAACGCAGTCTGTAGACTTAGCCGCGGAATTCGAATTCTGCGGCAAATCTCTTGATATTAGGAGAACATGAGTCGGAAAAAGAGATATTCGGATAATCTCCTTTTCTAGGCTGCGTTCGCAAACATCACCCGTGTGCATATGAGCGTCGTTCTATCTTTGTTCAACATACATAACAAAGTTATGTACAAAATGTTTCCGAACGCAGCCCTAATATTGTGCATTTAGGCCCGATTCCACAACTTACTTTAACCGGAGTTTAACTCGTTAATGGAGGAATCACATTGCATTTGATGTACAATGTATGACGTCCGATTGGATACATCGGACATCAAACGTAATGTGAATTTTCCATTAACGAGTTAAACTTCGGTTAAAGTAAGTGGTGGAACTGGGCCTTAATCGTGGCATTTAAATCTGCAAGTTGCTTCCGTTTACTTCTTGCTCTAATTTATTTTTTTGCAGAAATACGTTTTCTAATAACTTTGAAGATTTTTTGAGAGTATATTAAAAGACACACGAGAATTGTATTAACGGCAATATTCATCGGCGAATTAATGGAGAGATTTTAATTTCTCCCGGATGAATATATCCGCTATATCCGCTAATGAATATCAGGCTAATGAATATCCCCTCCGATTAAAATTAAGAAATTTTTACAAAAAACGGAGTTGATCAGCTGAGTTTTTGACAGATTCATATAATACAGCGAATCATGCTATTTTGAAATAGTATTTTTAAGAAAATATTAATTTACGTCATTATATAATTATTGCTGCGTATTTCAATAATTTCAATAATTATCGTCACTTAAATGTAGCAAGCATTAAGAACATAAGATTTTTGTAAGATAAACTTGAAAGATGCAAAACTGATGTGTTGCGCAATCACGATATGAATTACAATTAATCTTGAATATAGTTTATTAGTATAGAAATATTGATAAAAATAGTTCAAAATTTTATTTATTATTCAATAATTTTATTACGAGATAGGTTCTTCGAATTGAGAATAAGATATAGATAAAGGCCATGACACAAATATTTTTAAGAGTTTTGACCGATATAATTCTAAGGGCTAAAGGTTTACTATATCTATTGTAGACTCGGTCTTACGTATCGTGGCTTTATGGCTTTACGATCACGATTAAAATTTTTTTACGTGTCACGATCATTATCAAACAATGACTGTCTGAGATAAACAAACTACAATAAACTAAAGTTTTTGCATTGTTATGTCTCTACATCATAGAGAGCTAAAATTAAGACCATGACATGCGAAAAAGTTTTAGTCGTAATTGTAAAGCTGTAATCAAATGCACCAATCACAACCAAACATTTTTGAAACGTGAGACGTGAAAATGTTTGTAATTGGTCGATTTGCTTACGATCACGATTAAAAATTTTTCATGTATCATGGCCTTTACTTCCTTACTCTCTATGATGTAGTGGGGTAAGGTGAATAAATAAGTAGACATAACAATGGTAGAAGCTTTAGTTTATTGCAGTTTGTTCATCGTAAACAGTCATTGTTTGATAATGTTCAAACGAATTGTGCTAATTACTGTTAGCACACTATTGTTGAGATTATCAAGTAGCTTTGCCGAACAGAGTCACTCCACATCAGAACAATGGAGATTTAATGAAAATAATTATTTGGATCCGGTGAATTTAAACAATATTTTAGATGACGGTAATTGTAATAATGAACAGTATTTTGCAAATACGGTATCATTAAATCCTATCAATCTACCGTTGTTACCTATAATCTTTGCTCAGTCAGAGGATTTGCCAGATGGAAAATGTAAAGAAGACGCACAACGGTTTTTAAAGGAATTGCAAAATGGTACTCTGTGGGCTGTGCAAAGTAAGTATCGGAAATTACAAAACTTGTATAAACTAAACTACTTAAAAATTTGTGTTCATAAATTATTATTGCGAGAAATGTTAAAATACATTTTTTTATTAAATATTATACAGTAAGAGATTAGATATATATTCAAATAGTATAAATAATTTGTAGGCGTTTTGTGTAGCACGTTTTTATATCTCGAATATTTGCTTTTAAAAAAGTATGTAAATTTGAATCGAATTTTATTATTTTGCTATCAAATTGATGTTTTTACTTTTTCTACTTTTTATAGAGTTTTATTAAATTCTGAACTTGATGGTCAAATTTTATTGTTGTATTTTTTATTTTTGTTCTCTCGTCGTACATTATGCTTACTTTGTGCTGTGAATAATTGTTATCATAAAGATTATAATTTTGACGAGTCTTATTAGTTAATTATTGTGTGATCATTTTTTTTACTCTTTAAACACGAATTTAATATTGGTTAATTTGACAACACAATATGCTATCGACTACTTGTTTTTCTTTTTTAGAATATTTCTCTATTTTAATATTTCATAATGTTTTATAAAAAATGATAATCAAATTATATATGAGTATATATACACCTAACAGAAATTTACATCATATTTTATTATTAATGATGATTACTATTGTTTACAGATAAAAAATATTACACATATAACTAACTAAAAAACAAAACATTAATCGAATAACAAAAATATTAAATAAGCTATAAAAATTAATAAAGTGATTGTTATGAGTAAATATAGATGCGTATCTGTATGCATAATTACAATCTTTAATTTGGATCATTCATAACTCTGAAGCGCTCTATTATTGTTTTAATATTTCTATGTTAGAATTTTTAGAAGAAAATATAAATAAAATATCTCAGTTTACTTTTGACTTACAATTAATGAAATTTTGTTTTAGTGTTTGATTCTTCATCGAAATATCCTGATGGCGTATTATATGGTAATACAAGACATTTAGGTAATTTTGATGAATGTTACAATTTACAAAGTGATATGGGAGAAGTCGAAAATAAAATGGCTGGTAGATATTGTTTAGTCGATCTTGAGTATCAAAGAAAAGATGCGGTTTCTTATAGATCAACTATGGATTATGATCCAAATGAATCTTTTTGGGAAGCAATAGAGGTATGTGATTTTATAGATATATAGATTAAGAATATGCTTACAATGTTTTGCTATTAAAGACCAAGATTAATAGAAAAGAAGAGAAAATGAGACACAGAAAAGGAGGAAGAATCAGAAAAAATGTCTTTTCTCTCTCTCAATTCGTACCTATATAATCTTTGATAAAAGAAGATATTCTTTTCTTATTGTTTCTCTCTTTCGTCTATTCTTTAAGCTATATAATTTCTTTATATATATGTTGGGATCATCGTGTAATAAATAATCTGATTTTAATAACCCAAGATTTATAATATGTTCTGTAAAATTAAAAAAAGTTAATAAGAGTATAAATATATTTAATTTAATTATTTTATTTATAAATATATATTGTGTATATGCATTGTGTGTATTTATCTTGTGTATATTTATTTGTGTATATTTGTATACATTTTATGTATATTTAATTATATTTAATCGCATTTTATTGATATTTATATACAAAATAAACATCAGGTAAACATCCTTTTCTATTTTCTATTAATAGAACCATTGTTGTATTTTGTCTGCAAAATCTCGAATGTAATTATCCATCACACATAAAATTGAATGACATTATAATTTTCATAGAGACTCAAGAGAGACATAGGGACATAGCATGACTGTAGCATGAGACGGGACAGTGAAACAATCATGTTGGTCATGTTCTCTTATTGGTCAATTTAATGCTACACTCTATCCCACGAATAGGATTTCCGAACGCACCTTAAATGAAAACGTTTGTTTGAGCAACAAAGAGGATCGTCTTTACCTCGATTGCTCAAAGGGTTTCAGTATTTACAGTGTCAAATAAACATAGTTTTAATTTATAGACTTAGCCACGGGATTCGAATTCTGCGGCAAATCTCTTGATATTAGGAGAACACGAATCGGAAGAAAAGATATTCTGATAATCTCCTTTCCTAATATCATTTAAATCGTGCATTTAATCGTGACATTAAATTCGCAAGTTGCTTCCGTTTACTTCTTGCTCTAACTTATTTTTTGCAGAAATACATTTTCTAATAACTTTGAAGATTTTTTGAGAGTATTAAAGACGCATATTATTGCATGAGAATTGTATTAACAGCAATATTCACCGGCGAATTAATAGATAAATTTTCTCGCGGATATGAATATATCCGTTATATTCGCTATAATAAATATCAGGCAGATCCCCTCTGATTAAAATTAAGAAACTTTTTTACAAAAAGTGGAGTTGATCAGTTAGATTTATGATAGACTCATACAATACAGCGAATCATGCTTTTTTGAAATAGTATTTTTAAGAAAATATTAATTTACATCATTATATAATTATTGTTGCGTATTTCAATGATTATCGTCACTTAAATGTAGCAAGCATTATATAAGAATATAAGATTTTTGTAAGATAAACTTGAAAGATTCAAAATTAATGTTTTACACAATTACAATGTAAATCACAATTAACAGTTTTATTGGAAGACATGCCTTTTGAAGTGAAAATAAGATGTAAAAATAATTCTAGCTCTTTCTATACGACGTGTAGTAATTCTATTTTTGTAAAATAAATTTAAAAGATGCAAAACTGATATGTTGCGCAATTACGATATAAATTACAATTAATCTTGTCATCTAAAAAAAATAATTTATTAAAATTTTATTTATTATTTAATAGTTTATTGCGAGATATATTCTCCGAATCGAAAATAAAATATAGATAAAGACCATGACACAAACATTTTTAAGATTTATTTCGATCAATATATTTCTAAAGACTAAAGATTTACTACATCTATTGTAGGACCGCACTCTAACTGTAAAGCTGTAATCAAATCTACCAATCACAGTCAAACATTCTTGAAACGTGACATGTGAAAATGTTTGTGATTGGTCGATTTGCTTACGGCCTTACGGTTACATTTAAAACTTTTTCATGTATCGTGGCTTTACCCGAGCTCTCTGTGATGTAGTGGGGTAAGGTGAATAAATAAGTAGGCATAACAATGGTAGAAGCTTTAGTTTATTATAGTTTGTTCATCGTAGACAGTCATTGTTTGATAATGTTCAAACAAACTGTGCTAATTTCTGTTAGCACACTATTGTTGAGAGTATCAAGTAGTTTTGCCGAACATAGTCACTCCGCATCAGAACAATGGACATTTAATGAAAATAATTCTTTGGATCCGGTGAATTTAAACAATATTTTAGATGGCGGTAATTGTAATACCGAACAGTGCTTTGCAAATACGGGAGTATTAAATCCTATTAATCTACCGTTGTTACCTATAATTTTTGCTCAGTCCGAGGATTTGCCAGATGGAAAATGTAAAGCAGACGCACAACGATTTTTAAAGGAATTGCAAAATGGTACTCTGTGGGCTGTGCAAAGTAAGTATCGAAAATTACAAAACTTGTATAAACTATTTAAAAATTTGTGTTTATAAATTATTATTGCAAGAGATATTATGTTAAAATACATTCTTTTATTAAATATTATATAGTAAAAGGGAGATTAGATATATTCAAATAGTTTAAATAATTTGTGAGGCGTTTTGTGTAGCATGTTTTTGTATCTCGAATATTTGTTTTTAAAAAAGTATGTAAATTTGAATCAAATTTTATTATCTCGCTATCAAATGTTTTTACTTTTTTTACTTTTTATAGAGTTTTATTAAATTCTAAACTTAATGGTCAAATTTTATTGTTATTCTTTTGTTTTTCGTTCTCTCGCCGTACATTATGCTTACTTCGTGCTGTGAATAATTGTTATGACAAAGATTATAATTTTGACGAGTTTTATTAGTTAATTACTATGTGAACATTTTTTTATTCTTTAAGGATGAATTTAATCTTGGTTAATTTGACAACACAATATGCAATATGCTATAGATTACTTGTTTTTTCTTTTTCTGAATATTTCTGTATTACGCGTTTCTCTTTTATCTTCGATCTGGAATGATACACTAAAAAGGGCAACAATGTCTTCCGATACACTTAATCAGTCAAATTTCTCGAATATTTAAGAAATATATATTATCGCTTAAACGGTATGGTTTAACTACTTTATCTTGTGAAAAAATCTGTAAACGGAAGGAATCTGTAAACCGCATGTCATAAACTCTCTGAGAATGCGGAAGGCATTATTATATTCGCGCGTGTACCCGCAAATATAATTAGGTGGTTTCAATATTAAATTTTAAGTAATAATCAAGATGTATGAGCAAACATGTTAGAAATTTACATTCTATTTTAATTTATGATGATTATTATTAAAAATATGTGGTTACGTAGTAACAACTAAAAAATGCAGTATCTTCACATAACGACTGAAAAAACAAAATTGGTACTAAAATATAAAATAAAGTATAAAAATTATATCCACAAGTAAAATCAAATTTTAAAACTTAATAATTTTTTTATAAAAAATAATAATTAAATTATATAAGTATATATACCTGTCAGAAATTTACATCTTATTTTATTTTTATGATGATTGCTATTGTCTACAGCTAAAAAGTATTACACACATAACTGACTAAAAAACAAAACATTAGTTGAATAATAAAAATATTAAATAAGCTATAAAAATTAATAAAGTGATTGTTATGCGTATATATAGATGCGTATCTGTATGCATAATTACAATCTTTAATTTGAATCATTCATAACTCTGAAGCGCTTTATTATTGTTTTAATACTTCCGTATTAGAATTTTTGGAAGAAATATACAAATAAAATATCTCAATTTACTTTTGACTTATAATTAGTGAAATTTTGTTTTAGTGTTTGATTCTTCATCGAAATATCCTGATGGCGTATTATACGGTAATACAAGACATTTGGGTAATTTTGATGAATGTTATAATTTGCAAAGTGATATGGGAGAAGTCGAAAATAAAATGGCTGGTAGATATTGTTTAGTCGATCTTGAGTATAAAAGGAAAGATGCGATTTCTTATAGACCAACTATGGATTACGATCCAAATAAATCTTTTTGGGAAGCAATAGAGGTATATTAGTATAAATAATAGACTAGGAATGGTATATGCTTACAATGATTTGCTATTAAAGACCAAATTAATAGAAAAGAAGAGAAAATGAGATACAGAAAAGGAGGAAGAATCAGAAAAAATGTCTTCTCTCTCCATTCTTCGTACCTATATAATCTTTGATAAAAGAAGATATTTTTTTCTGATTGTTTCTCTCTTTCGTCTATTCTATAAGCTATATAATTTCTTTATATATATGTTGAGTTTTTTATAAATGTTATCACAGTATGTAAATAATTTTTTTCCTTATAAACATTTGTGTAATAAAATAATCTTTTTGTGTTATTAAATAATTAGTTTTATGTAAATAATGGTGATGTGTATACAGGAACGAGGAAATATTCACCGCATTCGTCGCTATTTATTGAAACTAGCTTTATGCGTACCATCAACATGTAGCGCAAAAGATGTAGAAACGGCTTTAAAAAGGCCTCTAGAAAAGATCGGTGCAAATAACAATATTAATATAGAACCTGTCATTCATGTAGATTTTTGCCAAACAATTGAGGAAGCGCCTAAATTTACTCTCGCTGCAAAAATATATTGGTGAGTAATATTAATATCACAAAATATGCAAATTTAAGAAATTATATATCATATAAAAAGAATCCATTGTTTTTGCTTATTAAAACTATAAAGTATTATTCAGATAACTCTATTAAAAGTATTATTCTGATTTTACATAAATTATGTCTTGTTCTCTTTTTCTTTGTTTTTCTTGTTTTCTTTCTGTGTTATATTTTATCGAATATCTTTAGCCGTAATAAAAGTATATATATACATATATATATATTTGTATATAGTAAAACTAAAAATGTAATCAATTTAAGTGTTAAAAAAAAGAGAAAAAATTCATAATTTATATAAAAATTTTATTTTTTTGCTAAGTTATACATTTTAAAATAATTCTGTGTA